CTATTGTTTTGGATACTGCCGTAACCTGATTCATATCTCAAGCCACAACCTTTCTAATTAGTTCTCACTTACGTATTTCTGCCCTTGCAAGGTTTACAACAACCCCAGTACCCATGTTCCAACTTCCTTCCTTCCCGGATTTCTTACTGGTCCCTCTCTTACTTCCAGCCAGCAACCCGGAAGGGTCAGTCTGCCCAGGCTTTAGGTGCCTTACGGTCTCCCTTCCCTTGGTATATACTTCCAGAGCACATGTTCTTTTCCTCCAGTTAGCGACCCGGCAGTTCGGCTGGTGTGTTCCCCTACTTAAGGACCTGGTTGCTTGGTTCTCCGGTCTTAGTTTCCGGTTCCAAATTCAGTCTTCCTGTAGCACCGTCAAAGATCACTGCTACTCCCTTATACTATTATATTAACAAATACTAATATAGATATATTTTTAAGAATTTGTTAAATAAGAAATTTCTACCATATAAACCTATATCTTTGGATAAGATACATTTTGATAGGTATAATAAAAAATTATATTTAGTGTTTAAATTTTAATAATTTTAGCATTATTATCACAATAGTCTATATTATTAGAATAGTAAAAATTTAAATAAACAAAAATTCTAAGATTAAAAAAAATAAGATATATATAAAAAACAAGGATATACAGTATTTTATTGAAGTTTTATATATCACCAATTTTTTATTCTATATTAGGCATATTCTAATTAAGAAAAAATTCTTAAATAAAGTAAAGATATAGCCTAACTATTAAGAAAGAATAAATTTATAAAGATTATTATTTTTTAATATAATAGTTTAATATTACTTATTTTGATTAAAATAAAAAAAAAAGATATCTATCTTTATTTACAATATTAATAAAATATCTAAAAAATTATCAAAACAAATAAAGATTAATAAATATTTGCAGACTGTCTATTTAGAATACTTATATCTAGAAGCTTCAATAGCAAAAAAACAAATATAAAATTAAATCTTATACTTGGTGACAAACTACTATATATATTTAATAGAAAAAAAGATAATCAGTATATTAAAAATAATAATCTTAAATTAGTAGCCAAATATTTTAAGCCAAAATAAAAACTTGTACAAAATAGCTATCAGATTTTTGCAAATACTCCAAAAAGATATTATATTTAAATAGATATTACCAGATAAGATTCTAAATATAGCTAAATTTTTTTCAAAGCAAAGTACAGTTATTGTTTTAGATAATTTATCTCTTAAATTGTTTAGATGATCCAGACTATGATCCTGAAGAAAAAGATTTTCTTGAAAGCAATCCTCTTTATTATGTTTCTAGAGAATATGCACAGTATTGTTTAGATAATGATAACTATTCTCATTTAAATTATAGGGATACACTAAATATTCTAGAGCAAAGTTAATATATTTTGTTTTATTTGTACACCATTTGGTATTTTTTTTAAATAAAGAAGGGGGCCTGCTAGGCTCCCAATTTTTTATTTTTATGTGGCATAATTTGCAATTATTAATTAGTGGAAACACAGGTAGAAAGTGTCGATGTGAAAAAATTTTGATCCCTCTCAATAATTCAAGCTCTAATGACATGATCTATAAACTAATACACTGTATATAAGCATTCAAAATAAAAATATCATGTGATTTTTCCTCATGGCCCATTAGCGAAATTTGCCAAGAAAATTTTATTAACACATGCGAAAAATAAATACAAATGCTCGAGACCTAGCTCGTGATACATTATTAATGTCTGCATGAAAAAATTTCACGCTCTATCGCTTCTTTTGCATCTTATTACATCTCTCGTTAAAAAATAATAGGTTTAAAGGTAAAAAAAAATCGATTACTAATGCTTGTTTTATTACGCATTACAAAAATATAAAACGTGCCGATTTTTACTAATAAAAGTATTCTAAAAATTACAAAAAAAATGATCGTCACCAATCATATTCCAATTTCAGCCAATTAAAACGAACTTCTATGCTCGTTTTTGATTTTTGGCTGACATCTCGCGACTCCGGTTGGTTGATTTTCACGTGGGTACATGGCTTTAGACACGCGTGTTTCCAAACGCGTTTTGTAACGATATGATCATGTATACTTGAAAATGTATAATAATCATGAATCGTGGATTCTATTATATTTTTAAAAAAAAATAAACATATGGAAGAAATCGTATTTGAGGATTATGATCAAGCAAATGAATTTATTGACTATAAAAAATGGATAGAAAGGATCGAACGGGGCGTGGTGAGTTTACTCGCTTAATATCTCCTTGTCGAATGCACGGAAGGTGTAAGTCACGCTGGAGTTGAGTGAGCCCATCGCAGTGCACGGCCTCGGTGGGAATCGCCTCTGTAGACCTCTCGTACACACTCTCGGCCCGGGTGGAGGGAGCGTGTGAGCATGATAAAGACACACGGTATTAATATTTTATCCTTTTTTTCAGGACAAAACCGTTTCCGAGATTCAGAGCGAGTTCAAAGAGATCGTTGTAAGATGGTTCGAGTTTGACGATGAATACGATCTTGTAATTGATTTATTAAAGGAGACTGGGGATAGAAAGTACCTGTTTGTTTCTAAACATTCAATCGATATTATCATTTTATGTCTCTTTCGGATGAAAACGAACTTTATTGAGTTTAAAGATAAGAGGATACAAAAGATAAAAAACGATTCGGAGAATATGATGTAATCGATTTTGGTAAAATATGTAAAAAGATGAAATCTGATGGTGTTGTTATAACAAATTTTTATTGTACAAATTCAGCGAAGAGGAAAGCGAGAGAGCTTGGAATGTTGTTAACAGATCCTCAACGTGCCAAAGTAAAGATCGACGTATTCCTGGAAAATTTAAGATCTTGTGTGGAAGTCTCTGAAATTGAAAGCGATATATCAAAAAATGAAGTCGTTTCGATGGAGATAACGAGCGATTATTTAAGAATCGTGAAGATGACAATTAGTGATGATGAAGACCAAGAAAAAAACAATGGAATCTGAAATTATTTTTTTAAGATCATATTAAGTGGTAAGAATATAAAAATATTTTAAGGTATTTGACAAAGGAAAAATGACGAATATTGTGTGTGATTTTAATGCAATACCAATTTATAATTGTAATGCATTCGATAATTATAAATAAAAGATGAAATGAATGTGGATTTATTATAAAAATAAATTTTAAAATGATTAAAAATAAGGATCGTCAAGAATTGTTCAGCGATATAACTCATTCCAGTAATGAGACGAAATATTATCGAAAAATGAGAGGTCTTTGGTAATTTTGAGATTGAAAAGATTCGTTTAAAATTGGTTAATGATTCTCATGTTACTGATGAAGAGGCGAAGAAGATTCAAATGAATTCGAAATATTTTGTCAATATCGATTTCGAGAGGTCGCTGGAAACTGATCGAAGATCTCCCGATTACTGATGAGGAAGAGCGAAAATATTTCGTCACGATTTATGTTGCTGGTAAATTGACCAGGGCTATTGGAGCCATAACATGAGACATTCATGTTTCCGATTAGGGACGATAATGATGGAAATGGAGGGTACAGTATATTACTTTAGTCCAGGGACGATGATTTTTTGTGGTTATTTACTCGTCACTAGTGTTCCACAGAACCGAACCGAAGAACCCGGAACCATACCCCGAATCGAATCCGGGTCCATTATTTTTCGGGTCTTTAGTTGAACCCGAACCGAAATCAAATAACGCACGTTGATTGTAGGGATGTTAAAAGTCCGGTCCGTTCCGGTCCCGGTCCGGTCTTTAAAAAGTCTGGTCCTGAACTAGTTAGGAACTAGTCCATACCCCGGTACTAAACCGG